CTAATATATTGTAAAATGCATTATTTTTGAGACTTAGAATCTTTATTTTTCATGGTCATACATCTCGATATTGAGATAATCAATCAAAGGGTTTTTCAACATTAAAACTACCTTTCCGATGGATTTTTAAGGTGCATTCGTAGTTCTACATTATAAGTTTGCATCCTTATATAAACGTTTTCTTTATTAAATACAATTATTTCCACCAAAACATTCCCACAAAATAGAGAGAGAAACTACTTTAAAATTTAATTATTAGAGTGAGAAAATATCTTAAACTTTTAGAGTTAGAAACTATATCAAATTTTAGAGGGAGAAACAATTGAAAATTTTTAGAGAGAGAAACTATATCAAATTTTAAAAGAGAAACAACTAAAAATTTTAAAAGAGAAACTATCTCAAAATTTTAGAGAGAGAAACTATATCAAATTTTTAGTTTTAGAAAGAGAAAATATCTTAAAATTGTGGAGAGAGAAATTATATTAAATTGTTTTGAGAGAAATTACTAAAAACGTTTTAGAGAGAAACTTTCTCAAAAAATTTAGAGAGAGATTATATCAAATTTTAAGTTTTATATGAAGAAAATATATTAAAATTTTAGATAGAGAAATTATATCAATTTTTAGAGAGAAAAACTATCTCACAAAATTTAGAGAGAGAAACTATAGCAACTTTTAATTTTTTAGATAAATGAATTATCTCAAAAAATTTTGAGAGCAAAATTATCTCAAAATTTCATGTTTGATGTTTCCACTCTTGGTGTGCCTGTTTCCAATTGTGTTTACCAAACATGCGATGGTTGAGTAATCTTTTCCAGTAGACTGTTTGCATACGTAAATATTTTTCATGTACATACTTTCACGCATACCAAACAATCCCAAATAGCAAACCATGCAAAGCCATCCAAACAAGTCCAGTTTGAGTATCTACCATGCCGGCCTATGTCTTATTCAATTTGATGTTCATATAATTTCTCATCATACAAATTTTTACTTTAGAAACCCCTCTTCCACCTCACAAGGTTTCCCAAACTTCCAAAAATGCGCACCAATCTCCTCTTTTTCCTCGTAATCACGGGGTTCGTTGCCAGGTCATCAGTCGCAGATGATGTGTACAAGCCGTATATCGTCCACATGGACACATCAGCAATGCCGGCCTCCTTCTCCACTCAGGCCCGATGGTATCAATCCTTACTGTCCTCCATCGGATCACCACCTGAAAGGCCCCCGAGGCTCCTCTATGTCTATCGCCACGTCATCAAGGGCTTCAGTGCCATGCTGTCTGGGTCCTACCTCCAGCAGCTTCAGACGATGCCAGCTCATCTCGCAACGCACCCGGATTCATATGACACGCTCCACACGACCCGCACTCCTAGTTTTTTGGGACTGAATAAACAGACCGGGCTCTGGCCTGTTGGAAAATTCGGCAATGACACGATAATCGGGATCATTGATACTAGAATTTGGCCAGAGAGCAAGAGCTTTGATGATAAGGGGATGCCTCCAGTACCTGAAAGGTGGCGGGGTGCGTGTGAAGCTGGAGTAGAATTCAGTATTTCAAATTGTAATAGGAAGCTGATAGGTGCCCGCTCATTCAGCAAGGGCCTAAAGGAGCATGGCTTAAACATCTCAGAGATCAATGACTATGATTCTCTGAGAGATTACGCGGGCCATGGGACCCACACGGCCTCTACTGCTGCGGGTTCCCCTGTTTTCGGTGCCGATTACTTTGGTTATGCCAAGGGAACTGCAGTTGGCATGGCTCCTATGGCCCGATTGGCCATATATAAAGTGTCGTGGGCTACAGAAACATTTGAATCAGCAGCCACAGACGTGTTAGTAGGCATGGATCAGGCAATGGAAGATGGAGTGGACCTTATGTCTCTATCTCTGGGTTTTCCGCAGACACCCTTCTTTGACAACGTGATTGCTCTCGGGGCCCTTGCTGCCACCGAGCAGGGAATCTTCGTCTCATGCTCTGCTGGGAATGACGGGCCGGAAGCCTACACCATCTTCAATGGTGCACCATGGATAACCACGGTGGGTGCAAGTACCTTAGACCGCGGTTATGCAGCTTCAGCCACTCTGAGAGGAGAGGGCAATGATACAACCAAAGTTTTAGGACTGTCGTTCTACCCTGAGAGCATCTTGATTTTTGATGATCCCCTATACTACGGCAAAGGGAATACCAGTAAGGAGATTTGCTCCTCCAACTCACTTGACGCATCTAAGGTTGCCGGAAAAATTCTGTTTTGTTCTTATAACAAGGAGTCTGACGCTTTCACTCAGATATACGAAGCGAATCGATCAAGCGCCAAGGCTGTGATCCTGGTTTCTGACTTAGGGCTTACCTTTAGGCCCAATTATTTTTACTTTCCGGCGGTCGCATTTGGGTTGAAAGATGGCGAGATAGTGAAGGACTTCGTGACCAAGACAGTGAACACTACGGCTGATATCAAGTTCCAAATCACAGTCTCTCATCAAAAGCCCGCACCACAAATTGTGTACTTCTCATCACGAGGCCCCTACAGTATAACTCCTGGATTACTGAAACCCGATGTGGTGGCACCTGGGGTAAATGTCTTAGCTGCTTGGATGCCTAAAAGAAAAGCTGCAGTAGTCGGGTCATATCACTTAGTCTCTGATTATACGCTTCTATCGGGCACATCCATGTCATCCCCTCATGTTGTGGGAGTGGCTGCATTGCTACGAGCGGTGCACCCAGACTGGAGTGTGGCTGCTATACGCTCTGCGCTCATGACCACTGCATACACCATAGACAACACTTATGGCCCCATCTTGGACATGACCACTAGGATTGGTGGGACCCCCCTGGACTATGGTTCGGGGCACATACACCCTAACAAGGCCATGGATCCAGGGCTCATTTACGACTTGGGTGTGCAAGATTACATTCACTTTGTGTGTTCGTTGAATTATACCCAAGAACAGGTTAGGATTATCACTAGAAGATCAGATTACACTTGCACCACATCAAACTTTGACATCAACTATCCATCGTTCATGGTCATCTTGTACAACAACATCTCATCGCAAACATTCAAGAGGGTATTGACGAATGTCCAGGATTTGCCAGCAGCGTATCATGTGGTGGTGGAGGCCCCTATTTGGAATGAATGTGACTGTGGATCCACAAGTGCTATCATTCGGTCCCAAAGGTAGCACACAGGCTTTCACTTTGAGGGTGGAGGTTGATTTAGCGGGTATGAGACCAGGGGGTGAGTACATAGGTAATTATGGGCACCTAAGTTGGATAGATAAGGCACAGAAGCATGTGGTGAGAAGTCCCATTGTGTCAGCATTTCCACATTAACTTCACTTGTTCTATTGCTAATCTGATAATAATTTTTAGCTGTACTCTATTTGTACAAGTGAAGTGAGATATAAAGCCCAAGGAAAATATGGCAATGGGGCAGTGCATAAATTATTATTACGGTAAATTTAATTGTTGTCAGCTTTGTTTCAGTCGCTTGAATCATGGATTATATATCTTAAATGCTCGCGTTTGTGTACCTAGAAATCTATTACAAGACAATAGATTACAATGAAATATGTCATTTCTACTATTTGGGTATAAGGCAATGGAAAGAGATTAGGCTAGATTTTTCAAAAAATCAGTATATCCATTACACTCGGTGATAGATGAAAAATCTATTATAGGAGTGGAGTGACAGGTAATTTTGGGATATCTTTAGAGTACGTTTTTGCCTATGTTATCCCTTATTAAAAAAATCATAGGTGATCCCTCCCTTGTCAAGCTCATCCCCTCATATAACGCCATCAGCTGTCATATAAAAATAAAAATCAGTAATCAATGGTAAATTATACAACACTATCATATTAAAAAATTTCACTCAACATAATCCTCATAAGAGATTACTAAATCTCAATTGAAATAACATACTTCTTTAGTCACCTCCAATACGTCAAAATTTTATAGTGCACCTACCGAACCTTCTAGTTTACTAATCAAACTTCTTCTTATTTTTTTAACTCGTGCCATAGAGAGTTTGAATTTAGTATCATAAATTTATTGTTTATTTGAAATTACATAGCGAGACATTTGAAAGACTTCTATAATAAATAAATAAAAATAAGGCTTATCATAATTAAATCATGTTATTCCAATCATATTGTTCCAATGACTTATCATGTTGAAACCAATGTCATGTTAGAAAACATATGATTCCATGTAAGTCCCAAAGGCATGTAAAATAAGTAGAAAAATATGTCATGATGACTGTAAAATGGTACAAGTTATTATTAGAAAATCGTTTTTGTATGGTGATGATGTTATTATTAGAAATCTTTTTGAAATGGTGTGAATGATTTTAATTCCATATTTTAGTGGAATTTTGTGACAAAAAAGAAAGAAATAATAATTCTGTATTTTAGTGGAATTTTGTAACAAGAAAGAAATAAGTGATAGTTTATAGGCATAAGATGTTGGTAATGCATTTCTTATATTTCTTCCCGACATAACCAATCAATAATAATGTATTTCTCATGTTGCATCTAAATACTTCCCAAACAGTAACAATCCATTTACAGGTAATATATTAACAATAATGTATTACACCAGTAATATATTTTCAACAATCCAAACGGTCTGATGGTTAGTGTTCTAAAATAACAGAGTCCGGCTTGATTTGGCCTTGACCTAACCACCTATCATTGAAAATGCACGGAGGTAGGGGTAGACAAGGATTTATGTATTGAGATGCCTTTTACAATATAAACAGTGAGGCAATCACAATGCTCATAAAAAAGGCATCCAAATATCAATTACCCAACCAAAATAATTAATCATCCAGGATTGACGCACCACATGGTCTAAGATCTAAAAGCATTCTCCTTGCGCTTTCCCGAACTCATTCATAACTACTTGGAAAGTATCCAATGGAGTAGTTGAATCTCCTTGGAAAGTATCCAATGGAGTGGTTGAATCTCCTATGGCCATATCCAATGGCTAAAAATTAGTATTGGATTTTATTTTTTATTTAAAGGAGTTATTCATCTGAATTTTTTTAGTGTAGGTATATTTTTATACATAAAACTAATTTAAAAATATTGAGTAATGACACTATGAGACCTCTCTCACACCATGTGAGTAGGACCCCAAATGATTACTATTAAATTTTTGATAATGATATCTAGAAAGTTATCACAGCGGTGTGTGATTTGGGTAAATGGGTTTATAGATAACGTTTCTAGAGATCTATGTCAAAATTTAATGGTGATCCTTTGGGGTTCTACTCGCATGGGTGTGAGAAGATCTCATAGTATCATTACTCAAAAATATTTTAAACAAAACATAACCAACGTACCCCTAAATTTATTTTGGTCAATATTTTTTATTCAAGATATTTTTTATTAATTTTCTTCAATACTATTTGTAAAAAGGAACCAAAAACCAAATTTCAGATTAATATATTTTTTAATAAAAAATTAAAAATAAAATGCAAGATTCATTATTGGCCCTTGGATGGGCATGGTTTAATCTAAACCATTAGAGGGTGTTTGTGCACCTTTTAAGCTTCAGCGTCCACAGGCTGTAGATGCAATACCAACCCAAAAGCGGCTTTGTGAATACCAATGGTCCATCAAACTTGGCTAGCAAGAAGGTAACCGCATCAAAGATTATCCAGCAAAATATGGGCCAGATCCTTAATTGTTAAGTGTGTTAGCTCACTAGTTTTTTTTAAAGGAAGAGGTTTATATAAGATTCAAAACGTAGAATTAAGGTGCATCTGGAAAATACTTTGAAAATGGTTGTTTTGATGTTGAAAAAACACCTCAGGGTTCATCTCGACATCATCGTGTAGGGATAGGGTAAAAAAATAATTTAAAGAGCTAAAAATAGTACATTTTACAATACATTATGTGAATACCTTTTCAAGATTTTCATAATCTGCATCATTTCAGCCATTTTTGGAGTTTAAAAATTTATAATGAGAGATGAAAACATATGCTCTCGTCAACATCTTACCACAAAGTTTTGAAGTACGCCTTGCAACCTTATCAAATCACACCCTTTCTTAAAACCTCATTTTAATTTATGATGCAAAAATCCCTTTTTTAAAGATTCCACATTGCACTATTTTTTTTTGACAAGATTATGAAGTTTTATTAATAAAGGGAATAGAGTACAAATTATAGTACAGAGCCCTCCATATTTTCAAAGGAGCTTAAGGAGACGCACCTTTTAGCTAAAGAATCCACTGCATCTGATCTATAAAAACATGTTTACAACAAAAAATTAAAGAGATCTTTAAGTGAAGATCCCCTAATATAATACTACAAACTTTATATTTGAAAATGATAGAGAAGTGGGATCAATCGAATTATAATCTAAATGTTGATCTATTCAAATGTAAATAGGTCCTCCCTTAGATCATTGGCATACCCGACATTGATCTTTGTAAAAAATACTTAAATAAAAGCTATTAAATTTATTCATATCTAACACAAAGTAATCGAAAGAAATGGAAATAGAGACCTACCTGACTGCGCTAATTGGCTCGAGACACGTGAAGGTTAGATCTTCACCCATATCAGAGCCGCGGCTGAGTTAATACCATTTGTCCTTATTTTTCTCTTCAGAATTGACCAAGCTTGTAGCTTCGGTTAAAATGGGGCTACGGTTTTTGACCTAAACATTGAAGGCTCATTTTAGGGTTTCTTAAATAGAATAGATGGACTTAGAAGACTAAGGATTATATCTGCACTCACATAGCCTACGGAGGACATGATGGACCGATCCTTAAGAGATCGGACTCAAGTCCTTTTATAGATCTCTAAGTGGTTGGGAAATGATTTCTAATGCTTATCCAAACGGTTGGAGTCCAAAATTCAAAATTCTGATGGTCAAAATATAGGCGACACAAAGTGTGTTGCGCTGGTCAAGAGTGACCAGTCGACACACGAAGTGTCATTGGACCAAAAATTGACTAGATACAATGAAAAAACAAAAATTGATCTGGGCCACACAAAGTGTGTTGCTCTGGTCAAATGTGTCCAATCGACACAAACTATGTCATAGGACCTAATACGGACCAGATCCATTGAATAGACACAAATTGCTCTAGGTGACACATTGTGTGTCACTTTGGGCTACACTCTTTGTGTTGCTCTAGCAAAAGTGGGCGACATACTTTGTGTTGCTCTGGTCAAAGTATGCTAGAATTTTGGGATTTCGACTCTCGCTATCTTTTACATGTTTTTGGATAATTATCATCTTATACGCAATCTTCATCCTATTTTTGGATTATTTATAAATTTGGATGAGAGTTTTGAAGGGATAAGGGATCATGGAGTGAGGACTATGGACTATGGTGCTTTGTAATCTGAGGATTTTTTTAATAGCGTGGTCCTAAGAACTTTCTAAGTGTTTTCTAATATCAAAAAAATAATGAAATTTACCAAATTAAAAAATAAGTATCTACAAGACATGATTGAACAATATCTCCATACCTTAGCATAAATCAACAATCTCTGCCCAAATTGGTAGTAATCGCCAAGCCCCTACCCAAGCTAAGTAACTCGGGCTGATCCGAGATACTCGCCCCGGTTAAGCAGTGTCCAACTAAGCTGAAAAGTATCAAAAATAATAATAAAATATTACAAAAAATCTCCCAAAAATAAGAAAAATATGTTTAAAGTTAGACAAAAAAATCTAAATAAGGTATAAAAAGCAGTAAAAAATGGATTTGAAAAAATCAATTTACGACCGGGGTCTTTAGAGAGAATTAAAAAAAATAAAAAAAGTACTCACGGTCAAAAACACTTTTTAATCTTTGCCAAAATGATATAAAACATAAAATAAAATAAAAAAACATATTACAAATAAAATTTTTTGTTTTTCTATTTTTTTTTTTTTATTACTTTTTAATTCCCGAATCGACCACCCAACCGGGTTGGCTTGCCCGAGTTTTTATAAAATGGTTTCAAGCGTGGTGCACCGACTAGCATGGATTCAGGATTAGGGACCGATCCGTGCCAAGATATTTAGAGTGGACTTGAATAGTGTACAAACCAAAAAAATGGGCTAAAAAATAAAATAAATAACTTTGGTTAAAAAAAAAATAGAAAAAATCAAAGTAAATTATAAACAACACTAAAAGTCAAAATGAGATGGAAAAACGTACATAAAAGAGGGTTTAGAAAAGACAAAGCATCGATGACTCGATCAACTCATCTATTTGGGTGTGTCCTCTCTCCTAGATCAATATTAGAGATGGACTGTGAATTCAAAATTTTAAGTAATGAAATTTCAACCGTGACGAGTAGGAACCCGAAAAAAAAATTGAAAGA